CCACGAGAAACAACAGCCGACACGTGTGTATTTGTGGTTGGTTGATTGTCTCACACAAATGTCGTTGGCCCGATAGGAGAAAAGCAAAAAAATAAAGGAAAAAATTAAGAGAAGTAGGCTGACTACTCAACAAATGGTATTAGTCATAACAAAAAAAGGATTTAATTTCCTTTTGGGTGATGCTATAGAAAAACAGGATTTTAATCAATAATAAATTAATAATGAAAAGTGGTTAGGCAGAGGCAAAAAGAAGCGGTTAACAAAGTAGGGAGGGTGATTGTCCTGACGATAAAATATGGAAATATTCGGTAAGTTAATGACTAAAATAAAGTAGACACTAAGCTCTAGTGACACATACACTGGTGCCCAAAACTAAAGCAACTGAAATTGCAAGCTGAATAAATGACCTGTAACTCATTTGGAAATAAAGTTATAGTGAAAGTTATATAAAAAGGTAACATATTCATTAAAAAAATATTTTTTTTAAATAAAAAAAATTCTATGGAAAACTAAAGTGGCCCAATTTTGGCATGGTCAAAACTAAAGCAACTTTTAGATTTTTTCTTATAAATAAGCAAATTTTTGCTAATAATCAACACATAAGAAGTCTTGAATCAATACAATGATTAATTTGGGAATCCTTGGGAATAGTATCCTTGCATCCTGAACCTGTGGGAAGGTGAGATGAAAAAACTGCAAACTGCGACAGCTGTTAAAATTATTCCAGTGACAGCTCATTATTTTGTTTATAAGCGTAAAAAAGCATTTTGGTGAGAATTTTCCAGAAAAAACGATATTCGTGATGGAATTCAAACGTGATAGTGGATTTCTTTATATTTGGCTGGAAAACCACAAGTGGCTATCGTTAGAGCACTCCAGCATTTTAATGTGAATAAATCTGTTGTCTCGTACCATCGCTCGTTACCGTGATACTGGTAGAGTAGCCCGACGTCAAGGAAATGGACGGAAGAAAACAGCAACATCAGCATAAATGGTTCAAGATCAGCGTCGCTGTGGCCGAAATATGGCTCGTGAGCTGAACATATCGCAATATTCCATTCGGCAAATATTGAAAAATTAGCTCGGGGTAAAGCCAAAAAGTGCAAGAACTTACACCGCAACCGAAAGAAAATAGACTCAGAAGAGCTGCTATGCTTGGCCGAAAGTGGTGACCTGCCGAATTTGGGTTTCGCCAATGAGAAAATATTCGTTGTCCAGCAGTTTGTAAACAAACAAAATGATTGTGTTTACTTGCCAAAGAGGTCAGCTGAAAATGTGCACCTTCGCTCGTATTAATCAACCTTGGCATCAGAATAAATGCCGAATATTATCGCGAAAATATTCTGGAGGGTGTATTAAAGCCTTGGGCACGCAAACATTTAGACATTCCAAAAGGATTCAGCACCATCGCACTCAAGAAGGGTTAAAAAATGAGGTTCCTCCAGCGCACAATGGCCCCCAGGTCTGGAGTATTTTGGAAAGTATGGTTGACTCTAAAAAATCCAAAGTGTCGAGCACGCACCTCAAGCAAGCGCTTCGCCGATAATGGGCCAAAATACCGCAGAGCAACATTCGGACAGCGTGTGACGGTTTCATTGGCCGTTTGAAGGCCATAATTCGTGCTAAAGGTGACCAATTCGAACAAATCTAAACATATTCTACAATTTGATGCTATATCCGACCCTTTTTGCCTTCATTCAATAAAATTTAAAAAATGTAAAAATTATGTCTGATGATTGTGTTGGCCACTATAAAACCCTGATTTTTGACTCCCGCAACCAATCTTTGACATGTTTTGATGTATGTTTGGAGGTTATTATAAATCTGAAACACTCAAACATATATTTATTTCAGAGAAGGGAACCATAGACTTTTCCAGCACATCCAACCCATTACTTCATAAATCTCGTTAATGGATCGAACTCCATAAAAAGAAAAACAGACCAATACCATTATTGACCCACCACCTTTCATTTTTGGACTTCCTCACGATAATTGTTTTTCATGCCTGAGTCTTTAATATTTAACTTTCATCCGAGTGCTGAGTCGGATTCCAATTAATATGATCGTTGGCGAAAGACAATCTGTCTTTCCGATTCATTTCAAAAATAAAAGGACTTAATTGATAGTTTCCGGGCATGTAGACCAACTGCCATAGCTCGTCCACCCTCTGTTCTTGAGGTTATATCCAACGATAACCGTCTCACAAATTCTGTTGAACTCTTAAATGGGTATTTTTTACTATTATGACAATTTGTTGATCAGTGTGAACTGAAGTTGCTTTTGCAGCCTTCTTCCGTGCTGAACTGTAATTACCGATATAGTTGCATAACATCAACATATAATTCGATAAATCACTGATTTATTCATGAAATATTTTTACGAAATCATATTTTGTGATAAATTATTTTCACAATCACTGGAAATTAGCTGATATATCGGAGTACTGTATTTGTTTCTAACCATTTTTATATTTTTTGGCAGTAAGTCATGTTTAAATGGGGCTATGGGAAAAACGGACCTATATCGATTGTTCCATTACTTTGTCCCATATATTTCGAATTGGAAAAACAAATAAACATTTTCAGCGGCAAAATGTAAAATTTAAGTCTATAGACTTTTCGATTTATCTAATATCATGTTGATTTATCTAATATCTAAATATTTTTCCATTGTTATCAAGGGTATTTCTCCAGGGTTATCATATAGGCAAAGATAAGATGAAATTAAAAATATATTTATTTGTATAGGATATCCTCAGTTATAGGCTTTTTTGACATTTCGTTTCGTTCATTGTTTAACATCACAAAAATAATCCTTAAATCCTCATTTACAACAACAACAAAACTTTGGCTGTATATTTTGGTTGACAAATATACACACACACATACTTTTTATGAGACTATAAACATGTTTTTGTGAATAACAACAAGAAAAAATCCTATCTCGGTATTTGGTTAATAATTTAGATAATGAATTGTTCCAGAACATTTTGGTGAAAATATGTAGGTTTATTATTATGCATAGAATCGCTTTATAAGTCGATTTATGCATGTCCGTCCATGTATTTTTTGTCGTATAGTATGATCCAATTTAGATGAAATTTGACCCAGGTTACTTATTTGGCCCAAAGACGAACCCTATTGAAATTGGAGAAAATGGGTCCAGATTTTGATATAGCTTCCATATAAGGTTTCGTCCGATTTTATGTAAATGGTGTACCAAACTCCCAAAATTTTGCACAGAGTACTGAATTATATATCCTGACTGATGTATGCGAAGTTTTGTTGAAATCGGGTTAAATTTAGATATAGCTACCAATTATTGTTTTGTCCGATTTTATGTAAATGTAGCACACAGTACTTAATTATGTCCTGATTAATGTATGCGAAGTTTTGTTGAAATCGGTTCAGTTTTAGATAGAGATCCCATATATTTGGTTTGTACGATTTTATGTAAATGGAGCACCAAAGAGTCAAATTTAGGCTGCCTATCAATCGAATTAGCTGAAATTTGGTACTTTGAGTTCTTTGGGTTACCAAATGTCTCCGCTAAAAATTGTAAATATCAGTCCATTTTTTCGGGTAGCCCCCACATAAGGGTACCCCCAATTTACAGTATTTTGGGGTTTATAAGCGCGTTTTAAAACCGAATTCGCTAAAATTTGGTACATTGGGTTCTTTTTGGGTACCAAATTTTGGGGTTCTTAAGCGCGCTTTTTAACGGAATTAGCTGAAATTTGGTACATTGGGTTCTTATTGGGTACTAAATGTTTTCACTAAAAATTGTAAATATCGTTCAATTTTTTTCTGGTAGCCCCCATATAAGGGTACCCTCAATTTTCGGTATTTCGGGGTTCTTGGGCGCGCTTTTCAACCGAATTTGCTGTAATTTGGTATTTTGTAGACGCATATGGTAACAAATCTTCTTACCAAAAATTATTAATATTCGCCCCTTTTAGTGGTAGTTCCCATATAACCTCCTTCTTATATTAAAATTGTTATCTGATTAGTTCCGTGGGTACAGGTTGTCCCTATATAGGCGTATTCTACCATAGTATATGGGATAGTCGTTACTCGAAATAGTCAGTTTTTACCCTACAAATTATGAAATTCCATCGGTTGCAATCATTCCGCTTTCTAAAGAAATCGTGATAAAAAAACACGAATAAAAAAACACGTGATAAAAAAACACGAACGATAATGAAATATATCGGCCAGCATTTAGGCATCTTCCTCATATAATTAAACCTCCTGAAGGAAAGAATAGAGATACAAAACCAAAAAATATTGGATTTGAAATTGGCTTGATGTCGGCCATTAATTAGGCATAGCCCTCAAATATAATTATAACCCCAAATATTCGCTAATTCCTCTATACTATGTAATCTAAATTGCAGTAGTTTCAGGATTGTGTCCACGCTTTGGGGTTTTTCATTAAAAATTGCTGAAATTTGTTTTGGTGTACATAATGGTTTACATAAACCGGTTTGTAGAATTATAGATATAGGTTCACTTTTTGGTATGTTGCCTATATTTTCATTTCAAGTATCTGTTAGTATACCTATGGTGGATGGTATCCAAATTTCGGCGAACTTAATGCTTTTTTACTTGTTAATATTGATCCAAATTAAGGATTTTTTTAACATAACCAAAAATTATTCGATTTTTTCTTGTCTATATAAATTTGTTGAGAGCCTTCCAATTGCAATAAACATGCGACAGTGCCATCATTGAATTGATGTCATCTACGAAATACATATATATTTGTTCCAGAAATGTTGAGATAAGTTTATATATTTGCAGTTTAAAAAAAAATGACATCTGTGTACGTGGATGATATTTGCTAATTCAGAATCGTTTTTCTTTGGGATTAGGCGACATTTGTTATATAGGTAGTATGATTCTATTTGTTCCACCATTTCCTAATTGCTTCTAGACTTATTTGCTTATCTATTATATAGGGTATTTTGTTTTTAATTGTATAGAATCTATACTTACCAAAGTCAATGAATTGCTTTATAGAGAGCGGTGATGGATTGAATTGTGAATAAAAGTCGAGCATTTTTGGTATGCTCGACAAGCGAACTGGAAATAACCGCATTTTGTTGTATTATCTGTGCTGTTATTGTTGTTTTGTGATCGTCGTCGTAGTTTGTTTTTGTTTAATTTTTTTATGTGGTTGTTGGTGTTGTTGTTGTTCCTTTGCTTAGTTTTGTTTTGATATTCTAGTTGTAGAATAAATTAATAATAAACAAAACAACAAAGACCTTTTACGCTCACTGTACAACAATGTTGCTCGGAGCAGCGAGCTAACAAATCGCACAAAGTGGGGCTTGAGATGACAACGAAATTTTGTTTGTTATGTAGCACAGCAAAAAATGTTTGGGAGGAGGCCGGACCGCAACGTTGGTTGATGTTGTTGTCGAAAGCTTCAGCAGATCTTGAATATGCGAATTGTTAGCGATGATTATGAAGCAGAGCCACAACAACAACACAATTTATAATCGTATGTCACGTATTTCAAAAGGCGGTAGCAGCGACGATTGGTGTGTGATGGTGAGAAATCGCGCAGGGTAAGGTGTCCGGCGTTAGATTGATTCTATATATGGAGAGAGAGAATTTTTGTTTTAGATGACCTCTGTTTGGATTTTTGTTTTTTGTTGTAATAATAATTATTATTCTTTTCGTTTGCCTCCTTCCATGAGTGGTGCTCGTTATCTTGACTTAATTTTTATTTATGGCCTTTTTAAGTTGATTTTCCAAAAATTCACCCCCACTATTCCTCACGCTGAAGTGTTGAGGACAATTTGGTTGGGACAAAATTAATGTGCCAACCAAAAAAATTAAAAGTGAAAAGGATTTGCCAAATGCCGTGTTAGGTGGTGTAGAGAATGAGAGTTGCGGCCACAAAAAACAGCTGTTAAATATATAATAAATGCATGATTCTTTCTGCTTGTTCCTTCTTTTTTTCGTTGCTTTTATAGTACATTCAGTTCACCACCAGCAGCACCTAATCCAAGAGCTCAATATGAAAAAATTAATATTTTTCATAAAATTCAATTCAATTTGCCAAATAATCCACTTGAGGGCAACAGTTTTCTGCTTTATTGTTGTAAATTTTTTGTGCACTACACTTGCTCTATCTTGTTTTTTCTTCTCTTTTTTGCACTTGTTATTTACCAAAGTAGATTTCTTTATCGTTAATCGTAAGGTTTGTTTTTGTACTTTTTTTTTATTAAACACTTGTAAATTGTAAATATTTGTTGTTATTAATTACTTTGTTGTTCTTCCAACTTCAACGTTCCTCGTTTAAATGTTTAATGGGCTTTGTTAACTTTGTTCCATGACTGACGACCGACCACCGTCTGATTTTGCCTTTGCTGCTGCTGCTTGGTTCAATGATGATGATAATGATGTTCACCCTGTATTAGGAGAATTATAATCAAGTCGATAACGCGCACACACACATGAGCTTGTAATCGTTGAATTTCGATTATTGTAATTTATCGATTTGTTTCAGTGGGGAACAACGACGCAATGGTAACGGTCACCGTTTGGTTATATACGCCAAACAGTTCGAAAGTATTTTCAAAACTATTTTTTAATTAAACAATGAAATAAATTAATAATAACTTTTATATTTTAACATTTTTATTTACCATAATATTAATTTCATTTATATTATTTCCCAGTAGTTCGAGTAACTGGTTATGAGCTGGTTATTTTACTAATTACCTGTAACTACCACTAGTTACCACTTCATACCCTAGACTGGTGAATTTAACATAGGTATGTCATTGGGGAAGTCAATTGTCCCCTGCCTGCCTTACCAGTAACCAGTCATTTGGGTAGATACTATTCTTAAGTATTATTCCTAGTTACAAATATATAGCAAAGTAGCTATTATAACAGTTTGGAAAATTGAAAATATAAAAGTTATTTTGAATACATATTTTTTATTTATTTCATCATTATTATGTTGTTATGTTTTGAGCATAATCATATCTGATTTTTCACACCGCCATTTTGCGATTTCTTTTGTCTCTCGACTGTTTTTCGAATCTGTCCTCTACGAAATATTGAAGCATCTGAAATAGAAAATTACAAAATAAAACTAAAGGTATTGGTCTCTTAAGAAGAAGCTTTTGGAGAATATTTACCTATGTATTTCAAACTTTTATTTGTTCCCCCAATCTGTTGGATGCTTCTGAATTGACATCTATTGAAAATCTGTAGAATAATTTTGTTGAAAAAAATTGCGTATGTATTTATTGTGTCGCAAAACCAGAACTTACCTTAGATTCAACATATGAATTTGAGATTCTTGAAATTTTTATTTATATGGCACTTCATCTTCAACATCGTGAATATTGATTGCTTATATTTTTGTATAAAACACATTTTTATTAAACATTTGCTTTCACAATTCAAAAAATTATAAAGTCTGAAGAAAATGACAATTATTTTTTCTGTTTTGCTTTTTTTCGATTCATTACTTTTCGCATTACCAGTAACTACAGAATTAGAAAACGTTTTCAATCAACAAATGAAGTCAATAGTATATTTTGTGTTCCATTTTTGGTTATAAAGTAACTAGATAACATAGTAACTAGTTATATAACTATACATAAGTAGACAATTGCTATTTATTGAACAACTGGGTTATTTTATTTACCATAATATTAATTTCAACTGAAACTGAATGCTAACGGACGCGTCCACAGGTTGCGGTTAATGGGAAGCCCAATACTATTCATTGGGTAACTGTGAATACTAAATAAGATGGTTTTTAAATCCTACATCCAGGTTCCGTTGATCATCTCCCGTAGCTCATACGGATTTAAAAAAAAAATAGCCAATAGGAGGTTGGACAGATTCCTCAATCGGTAGATTGGACGACTGTCAAACCCCCTCGACCAAGCTTATCGGCTATCTCATTCCCTTCTGTGTCCTGGAACCCAACATAATTTAACTATCAGGTCACAAACTGCTTTTGAGTTCATAATTCGTGTAATTAAGTGCCTTAAGGGCCGCCTGACTATCAACATATATAGTCGCTGGTCCTATGGAATCAACAATAAGTCTTTGAAATCATACATACATCGGATTTTGTCAATAAAGTAGCCAATAGTAGGTTGTACAGATCCCTCAATCGGAAGATTGAACGACTGTGAACGCTTTTGAGTTAATAGTACACGACTTAAGTGTCTTAATGGCCGCCTGGCTATCGACATATACAGTGGTGGTCACAGAATTAAAACATTTACTGTGGTAAACATTTTTTATAGCCCTTTGGAAGTATTTTTGAAATTTTTTTAATTCAGAACACTTCGATATACTGCTCTTAAGAGATTTAGTGTGAAAATGGAAAATAATTGCATGCAATTTTTCCATAAATAACGGTTTTTATGAACATACATCGACTTTGAAGTGGCCATATAATTAAAACATTGTGTGATTTTTTACTTTACTTCATTTTTTGAAAATATTTTTAAAAAAGCTCTTTAATTTAGTTAAATTATGTAAACTAAGCACCGATAAAATCATTTACTGATAAATTTTTTTGAAAAAATCTGTAAAATCTATCAAAATCGCCAAAAAAAATTGTACAGTACACCTTACGTTCAGAAAATAACCCTTATTATAGAAAATAAAGTTCCGAATGCACCAGAAAATGTCTAGAATTAGTAGAAAACTATAAATAATTCTCAGAATAAATAAATATTTCAAATAAAAACTGAAAAAATGGGAATTAACCTAAAAGAACGACTCAAATTCGATAGCCTTTATTGAAGAAGCCCGGAAAATTTTTGCAGTATGTGAGGAAATATAGATTGATATTGGCATTTATTATATCAAATCGATTGTTCGAGTAGTACAGAATATATTTTATCAAAAAATATATCAGTCACAACAGAAAGAACAGAGATCAACACCTATGTTGACGTGAAAACGTTTCTGGTACACAGCAGCATATTTGATGGTTATCTCTTGACCCTTAAAATCTATTGAACATGACAATATTTTTCTAAAATAATATTTTTTGAATTGAATAATGTCCATTTAATTTATTTTAGCCTAAAAGAAAGAAAAAATTTACAATTTGACAAATATTTCAAGTCTTGTGTAGAGCATCAAATATGCTGATGTGTGGCATAAACTTTTACACGTCAAAATAGGCGTTGATCTCTGTTCTTTCTGTTGTGACTGATATATTTTTTGATAAAATATATTCTGTACTACTCGAACAATCGATTTGATATAATAAATGCCAATATCAATTGATATTTCCTCACATACTGCAAAAATGTTCCGGCTTTCTTCAATAAAGGCTATCGAAATTGAGTCGTTCTTTTAGGTTAATTCCCATTTTTTCAGTTTTTATTTGAAATATTTATTTATTTTGAGAATTATTTATTGTTTTCTACTAATTCTAGCAATTTCTGGTGCATTCGGACCTTTATTTTCTATAATAAGGGTTATTTTCTGAATGTAAGGTGTACTGTACAAATTTTTGGCAATTTAGATAGATTTTACAAATTTTTTCAAAAATTTTTATCAGTAAATGATTTTATCGGTGCTTAGTTTACATAATTTAACTAAATTAAAGAGCTTTTTTAAAAATATTTTCAAAAAATGAAGTAAAGTAAAAAATCACACAATGATTTAATTATATGGCCACTTCAAAGTCGATGTATTTTCATAAAAACCGTTATTTATGGAAAAATTGCATGCAATAATTTCCATTTTCACACTAAATCTCTTAAGTGCAGTATATCGAAGTGTTCTGAATTAAAAAAATTTCAAAAATACTTCAAACGAATCGAGGGCTGAACAAAAAATTTTTACCACAGTAAATGTTTTAATTCTGTGACCACCACTGTATATGGTATCGACAATAAGTCTATCTCATCCGCTTTCCTGATTGCTAGGATTTCTGCCTGAAAAACGCTAAGATCGTTAACTTTATATGAGTTGTAGATTGCTAGTTCCTTGCAGGAAAACACCAGCATCAGCAGCTTCCTCCATCTTCGACCCGTTTGAAAATATCGACAGACCGGCCATAGGTAAGGAGCCACTTGCCTGGGATTCCTTACTAGGGAATCATGTCTGAGTCGGATTCCAATAGATATGAGCATTTGCGAAAGGCAATCTGACTTTCCGATTCTTTTCAGAAATTCATGAACTTAAAATTAAACGACTCCCCTTATAGATAGTGTTTTCAACAAGTGTTATTTTATTTATTGTTATTCTTTTTTTATACACTACAAATCTATACATATAAAGCTTTTACTATGGCTATGGCATACATTAATATTTATATATAATAATTATTGTATTTATATATTTAATTTGAAAATAAAAAAGAAATAAATGTACAAAAAATAAACACAGGATCGATCATACAATTAGTTTTACTTTTACAGCAAGAAAAAGTTCTGCACCCACAAAAAAATATGAAAATCTGAATTAAAAAAACATCACAATATCTCGAGTCTTTTACAGAGAATAAATTTGTAATTAAGTAGAACACTTATGTTTGGTATTGTATTTGTTAAAAATATTTAGTCAGACACTTTAATATGTAATTTTGATTTTTGTTTTTTTTTTACTTCCATAGTCCTTGATTCTTACTAACTTATAGTTAAATAATGCATTCAAAACTATATGTTTTTTCCGAGATAATATGTTTCAATTTTCCGAAACCTGTTTTTATACAAATTGAGATTGTGATAAATTGACCAACATAGTAAATAAAGTTTTTTTGTTTGTAGTCGTTGCACCGTTTAGTACATATATGCATGATGTATATATGTATGTATTTAAAAAAAATAGTGTTATGAAGTAAATGGTTATTGTCTCTTTTTTGTTTTTGGTTTATTATTGTTGTTTTAAGTGATCTTCCTCACGTGATGTTTGCTGTTGCAGACGTTCTTTGCGCGCCTTGTCCTTTAGCTGGGCCACCTTTAATTTGGCCATCATTTGTGTTGAATTGTATAGCCAGGCGCCCTATAAAGGAAAATAATATCATTATTATATATTTATTGTATCTATTATCCAATAAATGTACTTTGTACGAACTATCAGTATCGTTTATATACTTACAATCAATAGCATACAATTTAACAGTATTGGTATAGAGAATACTGTAGATATAAACAGTCCATTGCTATCAAAATACTGTTGTTTTGAAAATGAATGCCAATTCATGGCTGCATATTCATTAATTGATTCCGAAAAATAAACTGCAGATACTAAAAAAAAGAGGGAAAATATATAAATGGTTAGATAAATATAAATCTGGTGAATTAAATAAAAAATGTTAAAATATATTTATATCTTGAGACAATGTATATAGAAAAAAATTCCTCAGACACTGAAGACTATTTTTTGAATTAATCTGCAACGGAGTACTTGATTTTTTATAGAAAATTGCCCAGTAACGAAGAAGGATGATGTCAACGGAACGGGTGTGACATTGTTACTGACTATCTTCATTATTTTGGGATATTTAATTTATTATATCAATTCACAATGAGTGATCTAAGTAGATATATTTAGTTGTTATAAAATGGACATAAAAGGAAATATATTAATATTTTAATTAAAAAAATATATGGCTCAAATATCAATGTAACAGGTTAGGTTAGGGGATGTGCAGTCACTTATGTGGCTGCAGCACTCTGAGACCGTTAGGTCCGATTGGGGAAATAAAGAGAGATGAAAAGCTTACAGAAAGAAAGAAATACAGAAAGATATAAGAAGGTAAGTTTGGAATAATATCGATGGCTATAGAGATCAGACAGAGGATATATTACGTGCCAAGGTTGCACTTTCCCAACCACTTTAGGTTTCTACTTATGCTGTATATCCAATTTTCACTGTTTACATCGCAACAGAGTACATCCAAAATTTGTTTTGATGATGAGGGGACGGATTTGTAATCTTTGATCCCGGGACTATGATGACTTATAACATCTCTAATGAAGAATTTTTCTAGATCGCATTCAAGACTGCCTGTGGTGTACTTCTTAGCGCTGCGGTAATCAGGATCGAAACCGATCGCTGTACTGAATTTAATTTTGTGTCTTTTTGTTTAACCCCTACCACCATAGAAGGCATCCATATGTAAGAATGGGGAGTACAATCGTCACATACAACCATTGTATGATCTCTGGTCTTAGTCCCCAACTCTTATCTATAGAGTTCGTGCAGGATTATAGTGCTATTAGTCCATTCTTAGTGTCTTCATCAACATTTCTTTTCCACTATAGTTTATGGTCAAGGATTGTGCCAAGGTATTTTGCTACTAAGGAAAGGCCTAAGGTATCTCCAGCCAAAAATGGTAAGTGGAAATTTGGAATCTTACGTTTTCCAGTGAAGAGTACCATTTCTGTCTTAAAGGGGTTTTAGTCGAGACCATTGGCGTGTGTCCAGTTGGACAGAGATAAAAGAGCACCCTGCATGACATCAGAAATAGTCGGCAGAAACTTCCCACTGACTAGCAAGACTACATCATCAGCATAGGCTACAACCTTTATTTTAAGGTGGTCGAATTTTAGCAATATTTCATTTATCACCAGAAGCCATAGTAGAGGAGATAATACTCCTCGTTGTGCCTCTGTTGACATATTTCCTCACGGAACTCTCTCCAATTTATAATTCTAATTTCCAGCATTCTATTCTATTCCAATCGGATAGGAGCGAGGGATAGTCTGCGGTCTCAAATTATTGAAGATAACTGGTTATCATCCTGTAAAATCTTGGGGTTGTAGCATCATCAGTTTTCATGGGTTTCTTTCTATTCCTCAAATTCCCTCTAAGAATCATAATTAATTCTAAAATGCAATTTCGAAATATATTTGTAGATATGTTAATGAATCTAAAAACAGAAAACATTTCAAGGTAACCACCATTAGCATAGACTTTCAAAAAGGTCCCTAACCTTTATGGGCGACTGATGATCCGATTGAGTGTCGCTGGTTTGCATTCACCACACACCACATTGGTGTATCATATAAACAAACAAACCAACAACTACACATGCACATGTGTGTAGTATGCAAATATCTTTAGTGATTTCAGAATCGCTTTTCAATGCAATTTCAAACAAAAAAATAAACAAAATATGTTTTATAGCCAACTTACGCAAGATTAAAAATAAAAATATTTGGAAATTTGTATTGTTCCTAGTCAGTAGAGTTGTGGTTGTTGTCAATATATGCAAGACTATTAGACCAATTAGCCATGGATCCATCCAATCTATCTGTGAAGAGATAAACAAAAACAATGTGTGGTTGGGGGGTTACGGCTTCTGAATGTTTCATTTCTACTTACACTCCGTAAAAATGTCCAATAGTCGGTGATTTCATTTACTTCAATAAAATTTGGATCAATTGCCATGTTGTTGTTGTTTTAATATCAAAATATTAATTGTTATTGAATTTTTCCATATAAAGCAAAGAATTGTTTTATGCCGTTCTCGGGAGCCACACAAACAAAACTGATAAGAATATGAGGTTAGAGATGATACAACAAATTGATAGCAATATCGGCATTTAGTTATCGATTACTGGTCGATATTTCTCACGAGTTATGGATATGTTTATATAAAGGGGCATTAATAGCGCATTTACATACGCACTTTATATGCTGTGGATTTACGAGATTCTGAAAATAAATTAAGGTTATTTACACAGGCTTTGATATCATTTCAAATGGCTGTCAGCTGGTTTCTGTTTACATACACACATTCACACTTGTTTACAAAAAGAAAAAAATGTTACCACGAATTTTAAAATAAAAACTAAGATTTTAATTCAAAATTGTATTGGAGCTTTCAACAATGTGAAGCTAGAGGCCATTCATTCTGCTCTCGTAAGCTCAGGTATACTCTCACTTCTAACGGGCTGGTTTTATAGAATGCTGGAAAGCAGAATTATTAACTCATCCTCAGGAGAGAGAGTTCCATGAGGAAATCTGTCAACAGAGGCACACCACAGGGAGGAGTACTATCTCCCCATCTGTGGTTTCTGGTGATAAATAAGATACTGCTGAAATTCGATAATCTTAAAATAAAGGTTGTAACCTATATCGATGATCTAGTCTTGCTAGTTGGTGGGAAATTTCTAATGACCCTTTCATATATTATGGAGGGCGCTCTTCAACTCTGTCCAACTGGGCACACGTCAAGGGTCTTGGTGTAAATCCCACTAAGACAGAATTGCGATCTAGTTTCCGCTTGCCACCTTTGGGAAGACTGACCCTTTCCCTTTCTGAAGAAGCAAAATACCTTGGTACAGTCCTTGACCGCAAATTAAAGACTGATTAAGGACTGAAGAAAAGACTGATGCACTCTACACTTGCAAGAACTCCATAGGAAAGAGCTGGGGACTAAGACCAGAGATCATAAACTGGCTGTATGTGACCGTCGTTCTCCCCATTCTTACATATGGTTGCCTTATATGGTGGCAGGTGATAAACAAGAAGATACATCTGACAAAATTAAATTTATTACAGCGATCCTGACTACCGGAGCGCTAAGAAGGCAGTCTTAAATGCGATCTCGAATCTCCAACCACTGAACACTTTCTGATTAAATTCCAGGTTGCTAGATGTGGCCTGAGAAACGGATGTCTGGAAATCGCTGAACTATGGTCACGCTAGTATTCTCAACATAACGTCAGGTTGTGATTTCTTGAGGAGAAATACACACCATTAGTGACTATAGCACCGTTCCAGAACCTAAAAGAATCTACTAATTTTTGCAACTTTTTACTCGAAAACCGTTCTTCAACCCACAAAACTAGTAAAGCATTGAACCAAATTCAAAAGAACACAAAACAAAATGGCGTTCTCTTTGTAAACTTTTTACTTGAGAAACTTTTTAAATTACTTGTACTCTGAAAGCGATTTTGAAAAGTTTCCCTTTTACTAGCTTTACTATTAAAAAAATACTGGAACAAACCATATGTTTCCTCTCAAAAAGACTTTAATGACATCAGAGTAGATTTTCCTAGTAGGTAATCCTGGACTAGTAGCTCCTTACCTCTGCGAGGTCTGTCACTGGTGCAGGCGTTTACTGTAGGGAATTAAAAATATATAACTCATATAAACTTAACAATCATTGTAGCGGTTTTCAAGCAGAAATCCGGCCGAAATCACGAAAGCGGCCGAGATAGTCAAAAATGTCGAAAATACGGGACCGGTGACTATATATGCCGATAGACTGCAACTCCGCTCTGCATGATATACGACGGATAGTTAATTTATATTGGTTTACAGGACATAACAACATAGAAGGGAACGAGATACCCGACGAGCTTGCTCGAAGGGGTTCACAGTCGTCTATAGTAATAAAGGATTTATAAATCCACTTATAATCCACTACATCACGTTAATCCCGTTCAGAAATCTAGTGGATTATATTTGACGTATACGCAATGGAATTGACATTTATTTAACGACTATTTCGTAAATCTGAACGCACGTTTAATAGAATACCTATTTATTGTGCCGTGAATACACATTTAACGGTGTCCATCACACCTCATTCGTAAATTTTTCCCTTTTCCACTTTGAGTTCCTTTTGTCATCTGTGATTTTTCTTTCTCCCATTTTTTTGGCAGATGGAACGTTTTTCATTTTTCTTTCAGAAAAGTTGCTTCACTCACTCTCAGAGCAAGCACACTGTTACCAAATCAACCAAACCAATAATAACGACACGAATTGTAATTGTTAATTAATTTTCGGGAGCAAACAACAACAAAAACAGATTGAAAAACAAATAAGGAATCGGAAATAGTTACGATATTATCCTCAATCCCTTTCAAACAAAAAGTGCAACGTAATCAGCAGCATCGAAGTGAAAAGTTTGGCAGACATCAAAACGCAAGAAAAATAGTGAGAAGAAAAAAGAAAGGCGTAAAAAATACGATACATAAATTTCACACACAACAAGACAAGAAGAGACAGAACGAAACGACGAATTCCAGTGACAAAATTGAGGCAGAAAAAAAACGAAGAAAACAAAAAAAACACAACAAACAGGAAAAGAAATTGAAATTGTGCAAATCAAATTGTGTTGTTTGCAGCAGCAACAATAACAACAACAATAAGTGAACGATCAAAATAAAGCAGTTTCTGTTTTGGCGACAACCAAAAAAGTTCATTGTTCAGTCGGTCGCTCGCTCGCATCATCGTCGCTAACGTCGTCGTAGCAGAGCTTAGCAGACGTCGTTGCTGTCGCTGACGCTAGACAGACTACCTTGCCACACAATATTGCAGCAGCAACAAAGCAACACCAACACCAGATCAAGGACACCTGACTGAACTGACGACGACCTCGTCGCGGTTGTGGTTGTTGTTTTTGCAGCAGTAGGAGGAAGATTTCGTGTTTTGTTTTGCATTCTCATCGTATCAACTATTGTGAGGCTGTGAAGAGAGAAGGCTGCTTTGTGACAACAATACCAGGCAGGACACGACATCACATTTCGTTGCTTCTTCCGTTATGGCTGTTAAGCAAAACAACACCGAAGCGAATGGCTCATCAGCGGATGCTAATCAAGTGAATGGAACCGGTGTCAAGTCCACCGGGACAATAACAAAATCGAAAAAGATGAATACGAATGGCACGAACAGCGATGGCGGCGGGGGAGGTGGCCTTAACCCATCCGGTTTGGGTGTAACGAGTAATGCCGAATTGCCCGGCTGTAGCGGCAACACAGGCGCCTTTGCCAAAACCAAAAAACTCAATGCCTCGGCATCGGCCAATGTAGGTGGTGCTGCCGGTAATGCGGCACCCATGGTGTCCCATCAACCCACCACGGATATTGTCCAAATTTTACAGCTGATCGAATTGGTCGAAAAGAAGCAGCAGGAAATCGATTTGAGCAAGACAATGATGGAAATTTACCGTCATTTGATATTGAAATTGGCCCGGGTGCAGATACCACGACAATCGGCCGAGGATTTGAAACGTTTCAAGGAGGACATTGCCAAGGTGGGAGCATTTTTTGCCAAAAACAATGAAAAGGTGATCTACTATCACACCTTCTTGCCACTCGTCAGCAAGCTGATAACCATGAGTGATGGCGGCGAACAGCCATCATGTGCTTTGGCCGTGATATTTCAACTCTTCAGCACCGACATGATATTTGAGGCTGTACAAACGTTGCTCGATGACGATGTACCCGATCAGAGTATACGCAAAACGGTGGGATTGCTCTGTGAATGGTTGCGTATTTGTAATTTTTGTCAAAATTTAAATATTTGGATAATGGCCATATTGAATGGTCTGCAAAAGCAACACAAAACCACATTAGTCGATCAGATAGCTTTGGAGAATATTGATCATTTGTTTTCGTCGTTGATGGTACCCGTGCTACGGCCCAAGGTGGCACCCATTGTATTCCATATGTTGTCTACGGATCAAACACCTGAGGTGTTCCATAAGGTGAGTTTATCTTTTTGGATATATTTCAAAGCCCCTCATGACATTTATTCTCTTTGCAGATAATACCTCGCTTTGCCCGTGTCATTACAATGCTGAAACAGCAATCCAATAGTTCCGAAGAATATGCCGAAAGCACCAAAGCAATATTAAAACAATTGGTGGATAGAACAAGTGCTTTAATGGTACGATTTTACCGTTACGATGATAAGTACGAATCCATTGAAATGGCCCTGAAAGATTTCCAACCATCCAGTAACTATTTAAGCTATGCCTATGGCAACAAAACCTTTGATTCGACGGGAGTGGACAACTACACAAATCAAGGCAATGCCAAAGTGGGTTTGGTTAATTTGGGTAATACCTGCTATATGAATAGTGTTCTACAGGCATTGGCCATGACCAAGGAGTAAGTTGAACCAGTAATTCTATACTATATAGATTTCTAAATTTTGTTTTTTTTTCTTTTAGATTTACACGTGAAATCCTTTTATCCGAATCCAAATCGCCGTTACTAATTAAAATGCAACAACAAATAGCATTAATGCTCTATTCCACCCGCCAAGAATTGACACCCTCCAAAGTGTTGAATGCCACAAGGCCACCTGGTTTCTCACCTGGACTTCAACAGGACAGTTCCGAGTTTTTGGGTTACCTTTTGGAAACCTTGCATGAACAGGAAATGGCTTTTTTCAAGATGGCCAATAAAAACACGGGGTACATCTCACCAGATGATGCACGGGGAGCATCAGCTTTGTGTAAATCCAATGACAATGGCGATGCTGATGGTGGCATTGGTGATGATGAGGATTTAGATGATGATGACGAAGAACTTAAAGAGGCTGGCGAACAACAAAAGTCAATAAATATCCAAAACTCAACCACCGTCAACATGAATTCCCAATGCACACAAAAAACAACAACGACATCATCAACATCCACACCTAAAGACAATACTTTAAATCATTCATCTTCAAAACATCTATCGCAAGCAGTCGCCGCCGCAGCCAAAACCGTAACAACTGCAACCTCCTCCTCCTCTACTACTACATATTCGACAATCGAAAAGACATTCACAGGCAAACTGGCCACCACCTATAAATGTTTAACATGCGGCTGGAAGAGTTGTAACATTGATAGTTTTCGTGATTTGCAGTTGTCATTTCCCGATGTTAAAAATGATTGTGCTTCCAATTACTCGGTACAGGACCTCATCGAATACTATTGTTCGTCGGAAAAACTCTATGGCGATAATCAGTATTTTTGTGAACGCTGTAAGAAGCTGTCGGATGCTGAACGTTATATAAATGTTATAAGTGCGCCAAAGAATCTAATATTGACACTGAAACATTTTAAATATGATCAAAAATATCATATGCGTGCCAAATTGATGCATAAAGTATTTCACGATGAAAAGGTGAGTGAGAGTGCCGAAGAGCAATCTATCAATTTGTCATATAATTAGAATAGGTCAGGTTAGATTATAGCGTGTACGATCGTCCTGATAGGGCAATAACCATCACGCTATGAATTAAAAAAAAAAGAAAAACATTAACCAACGGCGAAACGCGTCGCATAATGGTGGGAATGTTGTATCTCTCTGGCTTTCCTTTTCATTCATTTCATTGCAACTTCGATCATGTAGCTCAACTCGATAGAGAAATTAATGAAAATAGGAGAAAGTTGATTCAAAAATCTAACTATACGTTGGCCGTCTTCCCAGATAAAGAAGGCGCCTTCAACAATGTAGAACTCGAGTCCACAAACCACTCTCTTAAAAAAATTCTTGCATGCATAGTGTGCAATTCTATTGGAAATGATTTGAGGGGGCTAAAACCATCGACTATACACTGGATGTATAACACCGTGGTAAGGCCCATCCTATCCTTTCGGATCCTCTGGACGGTCTGGATTTTTGTACAGACGGATCGAAGATGGAAGAAGGTCCAGGGGCTGGCGTTTACTGTAGTGTTTTCCAAGCTGAAATCTTCCGACTGGTTTCTGTCGGAAATTCGGACCGAACTCTGTTGGAAACTAACATTTTTTTGGAATTCCTTTCGAATTTCTTTTCGATTTCGGTGACCATGTCCATACAACTTTTGTAACGAAATCGGAACGAATTCGGCATCAGAATCAGCCATTTGTTCAGAGATTCGGTCCGAATGTTTTCTGTGATATTACAGTTACCCCCAACTCCCCCTTCCCCAAAGTTTCTAGATTTTTTTAGGACGTTAGTATTTTTTATCAACCAAATTACTTGCAATTCTCAATTCAATATTAAACTATGGTACCCATATAATGGTACTTCCAGTATTGACGTATTTTTTCATATCTCTAATTATTTTCATTTCAATAATCTTTGGATTTCTCTTCTCCTTCCAGGTCTCCCTTAAAGTGTGCTCCCCCCAAACCCTTGAAGAAATCGCCACCGTACACTATGACATCTATGCTGGGGTTGTGCATTCCGGTTTCAGCATGGACTCGGGACACTATTACACCTATGCAGCGGATGCTACAAATAAATGGTATAAATTCAACGATAGCATTGTAACGCCCTCTCGAACCGAAGAATTGCACAATTTAACACCACCCAATACCCCCTATATATTGTTCTATCAGATGGGAGCGCGATCGAATGAAACACCCGAAACCTCAGCATCGACAAAAGTCATTAAAGTGGATGTACCCTCACCGCTGACCCTAGAAGAATTGCCGAGAGATCTGAGGGAAATGGTTAACCATGATAATTATGCATTCGCCGAGGAGATGAAAATGCGTCGCTTCAAAGCGAATGCCACAATGGCGACGGCGGCGGCACAGGGAATAAATAAAAATTCGAAGAATTCGCGGCGTGACAGTTTCGACGATGATGATGATGAACAACCACCGCCGGCCAGTGGTTGTGGTGGCAACAGTATGCTAAATAATATGAATAGGTTTGTGTATTGAAGCGCAAAAAGAAGACAGCAAAATGAAATGAAAAAATGAAGATTCCTTATTAAATGTCCTTTTAGCTCTATTCTCTGTTGCCTTTTTGTAATGTTTATATATGTATGTATATGAACAACAACAAAAAAATTAAAAGAAAAGAAAAAAATACGCCTCTTTGAAAATTTATATATTTTGCTATTAATTTCTTTTTTCATATTACTTATGTTATTGTTTTATTATTTTTTTTCTTTATTTTTTTTTTTAAGTATGTTATTCTTTTTATAGGAAAAGTACTTGAGTGAGTTGTACTTTAAATATATATGAAACAACAAAACAAAAAAGCAAAGCAAACGAAAACTAAATATTGAGAATTGCAACTGTTTTTCTTTATAAGTTTAATTTTATAAATTATGAAAAAAAATTAATTATTAAAACGAAAAAAAAAAACAATTGAAATTTTTTGTACGATATTGTTTATTTTCTATATACATATACATATATAATATTCTTAGGAAGAAAGTTACTTTCACATAGTTATAATCAACCAACCATCCCCGAATCCTCCCTTCAGTCACATTCAATGTTATGAAAAGAAAACAAAAAAACAGTTCATTATTAAAACCAAAGTCCTTTTTTAATTTAAAGAATAATTACTATTTATACCCACCAATTTCATTATTACATACATTCATACTAAATTATTTCCTGTTTTGAGATTAGTTAGATAGCTGGGAAAATAAATTTTAAAAATATATATTCTTTTTCTTTTAATTTGTTGTTTGGGAATTGTTAAAATCCCCCTTTTCCAAACACACACACGCATAACTAACCATAATTTATTAACAAAAAATATAACCCCTAGAATTTATACAAAAATTTATTAAATACGAAAACAAAATGGCAAGGAATCATACAGTTAATAATACCCATTTTAAACTTCACCCCATCTCCCCACCCCCAAAAAAATCAAAGTGTTGCAATTAAATTGTAATACTTTTATTTATAACTATATAACTAACAAATATTATTATTCTTAAAACATAAAACATAAATTAATCAAAGAAAAACAATTATTCAAAACTCTCCATTTAAACATTTATAAATATTGAAAGAAAGCAGAAAAATTACAAATTTATAAATATGCAAAACAAAAAAATTATATAAATGTAATTTAAGTTTAAGCAAAATAAAAAAAAAATAATATTAAACAAACATTATGAAAAACAAAAACAATAATTTATTAAAATTGCAAATTTAATAAACAAAAAAAAAAAAAAAAAAAAAAAAAAACATTTTTATTGTTTGTTTTTCTTACACAGGTTTTATATTTTTTATTTAATTTTTTTTTAATTTGTTAAGTTTTCTAATTTCCCCTATTTTTTGTTTTCTTATGGAAGCGATATATATGGTAAATCATGAATTGAATGTGAGAATTAAAGAAATTAAAAAAATAAAATTAAAGACTGGTATACAAAAAACACAAAAAAACATAAACCACAACATAATTGGATTTAAGCGATTTGATGATTGTGTATTGATTTTAAGCCTAAGATTGATGAAAAGAAACACAACATTTATAACGTCTAAATAATAAAAAAAAAATAAAATAAAAAAAAGCACGTTAAAAAATAATAAGAATAAAGAAAACAAATTCCTTCGAATTAAAAAAACCAAACAAACAAATAATTTTTTATTATTTTTATTTTTAAAGTCATTTAGATTACTCGAAGTTTTATGATAGAGGCATGGTAGGACAACTTGAGTTCAATAAAAAAAACAACTACAGTATATGAGGATCTGTTTATACCATGGACAAGGTCTCATGCAGTCATATGTTTCCAATTTTTTTCATAAATTTGCCTTTGAAAGTATTCAGTTTTTAAAATTTAAATCAAAATATCTTCCTTCGAAATGTACGCACGCATATCATTTGTTCAGAGGCAAAAATTTCAAAATAATTTTTTTGAAGTTCCCTGCCTCAAAAACTTATAAATATATGTGATGTAACAACCATGGTTAAATCTTGAGAGCAATGTTCAGCTTTAGAAAAACATATTTTGGGTTTGCTGGGTTTCTCTACCGTGAATATGGTCTGAATTTAAAGCGACCTTGGTTTGCCAGGAAGTATACGGACGGAGCGATGGAAATTTCCGGAGAGCTCGAACACCTGGCAGTCACTCTGGTAGAGGATTCCTAATTGATGGAAGCGAAATCGGGCTCGTCTATTTGGTTTGCAATAAGAATACCTCGAGGATCGTTAGGAAGTTGAGAATATCATATCTCATGATGAGCGTCGAAATCGCCAAGAACAATTTTATTATCTCCCTGCAGCAGATGGACAATGCTTGGATGATAACTGTCCCCAATCTTGTCGACGGGCGGAATATATACATTGGACAATATCAATTTCAGAATCGTCGGAATGAACTGAAATGCTCAAGACTTCCAGAAAAGGATCAGATTGTGAAGGAGACGGAGGGGAATGAAAACAACATCCTCATTGCTGTCTTGGCGAGACAGAGATAGAGACCATTGTGAGAGTCTCGCATTCATCATCCAGCGAAATGTCAGATATGTTAGGGTATATGAATGCGAGACTCTCACAATGGTCTCTATATCTGTCTCGCCAAGACAGCAATGAGGATGTTGTTTTCATGCATTAAGTTTGTGATCTCAATTAACTTATTCCTAAGACCATTACAATTACATTGCATGATTAGGATTGAGGTATTTGGATCACTCCCCTGCATGGACAGCTGCTGTAGGTGCCCTTGTGGAGGCAGGCGGGTGGAAATATTCGGCGAACGGAAAACCTGCCTGTAACGCTGTTGTCTAGATGGGAAGTTTTGAGCATTCGATGTTGGCATTGAATGACTAGAAGTGTTAGTCGTAACACTAGAATGAATTCTACTTGATGAATGGCTAGACGGAGTGCTAGCCGTAGAATAGGAAGAGAAGCTAGTAGAATAACTGACTTGACTACCAGCATGAGCACTAGTGGTCGTACTACTGGATGGAGAACTAGACGGAGTGCTAGCCGTAGTACTTGAGTCACTAGTAGAATAACTAGTTGGACTACCAGCATTGCAAAACTAGCCGGGGAGCTAGCAGCAGAACTGGAGGAAGAGCTAATGGAATAACTAGCTCTGTCACTAGTACTCACACTAGTAGCAGTACTACCGGATGGAAAACTAAACGGCTAGCCGGCCACCGGAAAGGCTCAACTGGATTCTAGCGGATATTGCTGGATTATTTATGCAGCAATCGGCTACAAAGCCGGAATTCCATTACCTGTGGGAGCGAAGGGTGGTACATCTTTTCATTTGGCACCAGTTACTGCAACCATTGCACCTTACAGATGTCACGTTTCTCCGCATGATTTCCCCGCAATCCGAACAGTTCCACTTGGAGTTCTGGGCAGGTTGCTGAGAAGGAAAGGAATTTCTCGGAGTTGTTGGAGACAATGCGCTGGGTGTTGTAGGCTGCAGACAACAGCTGGCAATGAAGCTGTGCGACCAGTCGTGGCGTGAGGTGAGACCTGAGCACCTCCTCAGATGACACCAATTGTTGCAAACATTGCATCGCACTGAGGTGGAATTTGCAGCGATGCGTAAATGACACTCTGAACAAAAGCACACATCAGGACCTGGGGTTTGTTCAACGTCGGCACGGTTTAAAAGAATGGAAAAAACTTTCTTTTGGTACAGCTGTCGCTGAGTTGACAATCCCTGGCCGAGTCGAACTCGGGTCGTTCCGAAGCATAGATCCGATTGTCGTGGAAACGGAACGTAAACATTTTTTAATTATTGCCACTGAACACGTGTTGTGCGTACATTTCGAAGTAGGATAATTTTCATTTAAATTTTGAAAGCTGAATGTTGTCAAAAGTAAAATTATGAAACAAATTGGAATCATATGTCTGCATGAGACTACCTTGTGTAATTATGACATGGCTATAGTACTACGACCACACGAAACTTTGCACCTAGCTGTGGTAAAAAGTTCAACATTTACCCTAATGCACAGTTTTTTTAATCAAATTTACCTTTTTGCTATTTGCAAACCTAAGGGTCGTACCTAAATTTATGCGTACGATTTTTTCACCTCAAAAGGTAAATACATGTATTTTAATGAATGTTACCCAAATACGCATTGCGTATAAAAACATAATGTTGAAAATTTTCAACATTGACAATGCGTATTTTGATTTTTTTGTAAATTTGTGTTTGTATAAAAGTAAACGTTTTTCGAGCAATTAAAAAGCTGTTTCACCCACTTTCGCGGTTTTCAATTGACACACAAGTAAATGAGGCCCTTGTGTATTTGGATAATACGGACGTTCAGCAAACACTATAAAGGTGAGAAGGTGGGAATTTTAGTACGCATCGCACTGAATCAAGGTAGATATACAAGGTAGCCGCATCGGCGAATTTCTACAACAAACATCGGTTGTTGTATTTTGATATGTCAAAAATATTTTGCCAAAACAAACAGATTGACAAGATTTTTTTACACAAATTCTCGTAGAAAATGTTAATAAAAGTATTGTCAAAAAAGCTCTTCGAAATTCGGAGATTTTCATTTATAATTTTGTTTTTTTAATTTTTTGGTTCAACATTACAACAACATTTTTGACATTTATTTGTCCAACAGCTGGGCTGATGCGGCTACCTTATTAAATATACCTTGCACTGAATTTAATTTTAACGAAATTCTCTATTTTATGTTTTTGAGTCACCCTGTTATTAGAAACGTCATCAACATAAAAGTATTTGCTATTTCATTGCTACCAATTATTCCAAACCTGCCGGTTTCGAGTAACAAATACTCAAATACCTTGTCATTTTGCAACACTAGACAGTAGACGCGTTGTCAAATTCGCCTGTTTATTAAACACATAAAACCAAAATCTCCCATCAATTGCCATCAACAAACATAAATTTATTGTTTTTGTTTTTCTTTTTTTGTGTCGTTGTGCGGATGTGTTTTCTCTCCCCCGAAACGAAGAAGAAGAATTG